CTCTCTCTCTCTCTCTCTCTCTCTCTCTCTCTCTCTCGCTCGCTCGCTCTCCCTCTCTCTCTCTCTCTGTGCGTGTGTGTGTGTGTGTGTGTGTGTGTGTGTGTGTGGCGCTATCTTTCCAATGCATGTTTTGGTAGTTCCTTGTGCACCCTTCCTCCCTCAAGTCCTTCTTTGGAAAACCACCAGTACTTTCGAGCCTGTTTCTGGGGAGCCGATTTCTGCCGTGCGCCAAGTTTGTCCAAACCTGTGCTGGCACCAAAAAAAAAAAAAAAACGCTGGCATGCCGCTCCAATTCAGCAGGCTGAGCCCGGAAAGTTGTGGTGCGAGCATGACTGCATCAGAGAAAAATGGCTGAGAAACATACCGGTGGTTCAATGAAACCCCTACCCTACATGCCCACCTGAGAGCTTTCACCACTCTTCCTGAGGAATGATGCTTTAAACCACCTGCTCCTCGCTCAGCTACCTGCGAGAATGTGCTGCCTAACACATGGGGCAGCAGACAGGATTGGGGTGCTGGACGAAAAAGGCTGGTGGCACCTGGTAGGCCCTTGCCTCGTGACAGTTTGGCAGAGTCCATGGGCAGGCAAAATCGAGCGCTGGGAAAGAAGCGTCTCGGAGGTACCACTGGTGGTGGCTTAAGGCTCTGCTGTTTCTCTCTCCATTCCGCTTTGTTATGCACACTTCCCTCATGCCTTTACTTCCCCCCTGACACTCCTTGACTTGCTGACATCCAATCATGGGCTACTTGTGCGAAGGAGTCTTGAAACGGTGGCGGTGCTTTTCCATGGCGCCACTGGCCATCCATGAACTCCTGGCAAGGAAATCCCTATGCCGACCTGGAGCATCTGCCGCTTTTGGGTAATGCCATAGAAAGGCGTCGGAGCATTCAACAATAGTCGACAGTGAGGCGGACATGTCGTGTGGGCATCAAAATGTTCATCGCTGTGCTTTGCGTGCCACACATGTGGTCCTTGCACACGCTGAACTAATGCAGAGAGAGGGTTAGGGAGGGAGAAGACTGGAAGAGAGGGGGAATGGCCCCTAGCTCAGTTGGTCGAGCGCTGGTCGGTTATGCACCTTTGTGGCTTAGGGTGTGGGTTTGAATCTTCGAGCCTGCACTCTGGTGCGCCGTACTGGATATTTGTATTGTGCAATATTCACTGTTGTGGCTTAGCGTGTGGGTTCCAATCTTCGGGCCTGCAGACCCCGGTGTGATGTTCTGAATATTGATATTGTGGATTCACTGCGCAGAGCTTAGATTGGGTGCCTGTGTGTTCACTTCCACAGGTTGCAGGTTCGAGCATTGCCATGCCCGGTGGGGCACTTGTGGAGCATGGTGCAGGCCAGGTGTTAGACCTCAAAATACACCCGTTCTCCATAGACTGCAGGATCGATCCCTGCCATGCCCGAGTGGATGCTTAGGGCAGGTTGCCGGTTCCCTGTCCGAGCCTAGATGGATGGTGCTCGATCGACTAGGGGGGTCCTGAGCCCACTGTCTTGTGCTAGAATAAGGTTGCATCTGGCACCGCTCTGGAGCATCTACGGTTGGCTGGCTGGGATTAGATATGTGCCTGCTGTCTGCGACCCAGCAGCTGGCCTACAGTGCATTTGCCTATTAGGGTCATGGCCCAATAAATTGTACCCGTTGGGGGTGGGCAGTTCTTGATGAGAACGGAAGGGCTGCTCGCAGCACCTCAGGGGACCAAGGGTGACGCCTGTGCGACTGGGTACTGTAAAGGTCTCCCCGTGCAGGATACTCTCAGCCGTTAACCCTGAGATGAGGCGGGTTGGTATCTGCGCTCTTGAGCTGAAACGCCAACTGCCCTACCCTGAAGGGAAAAAATACCAAAAAAAAAAACAACCACAGTCGGAAACAACATATGCCCTGCGCCTGTCATTGTTTTTGCCCTGCGCTAGGAACCGGACTGATGCTCCCCAGAATGGAAACGGAGCCAGGGCCATAAGGACCTGTTATATTTAAAAAAAAAAAAAAACATATGCCCTGTGCCATGCCTTGCGTACCACGCATGTGGTCCTTGCACATGCCACACAGTGAATTAATGCAGAGAGAAGGGCAGGGAGGATGAAGATTGGAAGAGAGGGGAACAACTGGAGTTGGAAACAGGATGCTGCTGCAAGAGGGAGCAAGGATACAGAGACCACGATTACCATGGCCCCTGCACAGGAATGGATGACACACACAAATGGAGGAATGGTCTGAATTTTTACCTATCATCATTCCCTCAACATACTGCACCCTGATAATGAATGTAGACAAGCTATATTTCCAGTCAGGTACATCCCAAATGAGGGTGCGTTGCGTTCGTGCGAAGACGGCAGTTGAAGAAAGTTTGGTAAAGGAGAGGAGGGGCAAAGTGGACAAGGGAGGTTGATCTTGTATGTCAGAGGAGAATGCCATGTGCTGTGCATGTGTGGCACATGTGTGTGTCTCCAAAGTTCAAATGCTCACTCCATGACTCAAACCTGCAACCACTGCCAACCAGTACATCAGCAGCGAGTCTGAGGTTGCAGTAGAGGAGGGGAGGTTGTCAAGTCCCCTAGATGGTTCTGAAGTGGTAGTGGGGAGAAATCTTCCCGAAGTGTAGGGAAGTAGCAGGCAATGAGATAATGAAGGATGACTCTCTAGGAGAGTTCTTTCGTTCAAAGCTGGCAGCCTGGCAGTCAATACTTTCCTGTTACTCGACAATAAAGGTCAGGCAGCACTGTCATTTCTTCCAGATCAATCTGTTACCTGCCACTGTTGCAATCTTTCCCTGTAGAACTTCGCTGATGTCCCTTCCCTTGCCACCTTGGTTCTCTCGATAGTCTTGGTACACCTCCTTTTCCAGATCACCCACAAAGACAGCTTCCTGAGAAGGTGAAACCAGATTTCCTTGCCGCCTTTGAGAGTGTTAGTAATGTCCGAGCCTAGATGGATGATGCTCAATCGACTAGGGGGGTTCTGAGGAGATGTGGGGGGAGGGGATGATGAGAAGAGGACCTTGTTCCAGGCTTCAGTGGGTATGTCTTCTGGTCTATTGTCTGCCGAGATCCTCCTTGTGGCAGAGATGCGTGGCCTACGAGCCACTGCATGCTTCCGGAACAGTGATGGGCAAATTGAGACCATAGTCTTAGCAATATATACAACTCTCCTCTTTTCTTGTTGCGCACAAATTATATGACAGAATCACAATGGATTCTGAGAGGAAAAGTGGTAGGGCAAGCTGACAGTCAATCCTCCTTTGTTGGGAGTAATCAATGCTGTGGTCAGGGTTCCTTCGGCCAGACGGAAGGAAGCGTGTGCGTGTTCACCATGTATTCCAATTTTCGACTTGCCAGTGGACAGGAACCGGACTGACACCTTCCCAGAATGGACATGGAGCCAGGACCATTAAAAAAAAAAAAAAAAAGGTCAGGCAGCCATGATGCTATGTTCATGCTTGGAAAACATGAACCTGGTAACAACATTGGTCATGTCCATTCTTTGTTAGCATGAACATAGCACAAGCGGGGCCTGGGCCCGAAGTGATCAATGCTGAGCGTTTGTTTTCCCTCACTTCATGGCTTCATCTGCGTCAAGCTCCCTTTGTTTTTTTTTTTCTTTCACTAGCTTTTCTTTTTCTCCCTGCTTTTTTTCCCCCCTCTCGAAACAAACATGCTTAAAAGCCTTAAATTGTTTTGCTGGGATGCTGGGCCTGATTTCCACCAGGTGCTGCCTGCCAGTCAGCAACAGAACAGAGTTTTTATTGCTAAAGCAGCTAAACGATGATTTAAAAAAAAAAAAAAAAAAAAAAAAGACAAGAATCAAGAGATATATTAGCTGGACATTGTCATACATGTTACTGAACAAGAGAAAAACAATTCAACACATGCTTTGTCTGAAATTTTCTGAATCAGTCACCTTTTTTTTGTCTTCTTTTTTCTTATAATGTTCGGTCACCTTGGTGCTCATTCAAGTGTGTCCTTTGGCTCATCACAGGATAACATTACCTCCAGATTCCAAGAAATCAAAATCCTCTAAGGCAGGCAAGGGCTCTTCTGCAAAATCAAGTGATTCAGCAGGTAGGCATTAAAGTTGGTTAAACAAATAGAAGGGAAACACACACACACACACAAAAAAAAAAAAAAAAAGAGTTGACGAGGAGGAAGTCTCAAATGCAATGATCCTTACTTTCACATGGCTTCTCACAGTCATGATTCACCACCTTAACACACACACAAAGTCGCACTCCACACTTTTTGTTGTCAGCCTTTCTCATTGTCTGCTGAGTCTCTGAAATTTCGTCTTCTTTTTTTTCTTCTTTTTTTTTTTCTTTTTTTTTTCTTTTTTTTCTTTTTTTTTTTYTTTTTGTTTTCAACAGAACCTTAGGGTTCCGGCTCCTTTTCCATTCTAGGGAGCATCAGTCCGGCTCCTATTCCACCGGCAAGGTAGGCTACCAGAGTGGCCCGGGTCCACTTGCCTGACCGGGCCAAAAAGAAAAAATATATATATATATAATATTATATATATATAATATAATATTATATAATATATAATATATATATTTGACGATATATATTATATATATATGTCAGGTCGAGCGGCAGTGGTCGGGGCCGTTACTAGGCGGCCATGCTGTGCCTCTAGTGCCAGCGGCGTGTCTGGAGTGTATTTTTTGGCTGTGACAGACCTTTCTTTGTTTCGTGGATGTTTTGCAGGCTTGTGATGGGGTGTGAACCGACAGTCTGTAGAGTTTTCCATCTGGTGTGGGTGAGTGATAGTCTACTTTGATTTTGGTTAAGGTAGATTATCATTTACAGTGTAATCAGTGAGGGGATTCTG